AAAAAAAAAAAAAAACTTTTTAAATTTTTAATGTGGTTCCTGGAAAATCTAAAACTAGTTCTGTGACTCACATTACACTCTTGGACAGTGCTGGCATGGAGGAAAGTGTACTCCACTCAACTCATCAATAGCCTGACCCAAAGAAGCCCCAGAATCTGGCCTTGGGTCTTATTTTGTAAAGAAGCAGAACATTTCTTAATAGTGTTATGGATTAGGATTAAGTGCAGAACTATGCATTAAAGCACTTTATGAACTGCATCCCTTTGTGCAAACAAAAGGGATTTTTCCTTTGGCAGTACTTGGGTCTGAACTCAGGGCCTCATGCTTGCTAGGCAGGTACTTTACCACTTGAGCCAGATCCCTAGCCCTTTCTGCTTTAGGTATTTTTCAAATAGGTTGTCATGTTTTTGCCCAGGCCAGCCCGAACTGTGATTCTCCTATTTACACTTTACTTGTATCTGGGACCTCAAACATGAACCATCACTGTTGGGCTTATTGATTGAGGTGGGGTCTTGCTAACTTTTTGCCTGGGCTGGCCTCAACTGTGATCCTCCTGATCTCTGCTTCTTGAGTAAATGGGATTATAGGCATGAACAAGCACACCTGGCCAAAGGATTTTTATTAGTTAAATTAATACTTATAGCCATTGCTATAACCAGCCGGTGCTGGTTGGCACTAGTGGCTTGTATCTGTAATGCTAACCACTTGGGAGGCAGAGATCAGGAGAATCAAGTTCTGAAGCTAGCCCAAGCAAGTGGTTCAAGAGGCCCTGTCTCAAAAATACCCAATACAAAAAAGGGCTGGCAGAATGGCTCAAGTAGTAGAGTGCCTGCCTAGCAGGTGTGAGGCCCTGAGTTCAAGCCCCAATACTGCACCCCCCATTAATAGTTGTAGTAACTAGGATACCATGATAATTCCTTAATTTTGCATTATTCCTTATGTTTTCAAAACCATTTCATGCAATTCTATAGCAAACTTGAAGGACAGGCTAAAAGGGATCATTGGGCCATCATCTACTGAGTACCTTTCCCCCAATGAAATAGGCATGGGAAGTTAGACATCAAATTACGTTAATGCCCAGTGCATGAAACGGCCTCAAATTAATTTTGTACAAAGGCAAAAAAATTTTTTACCTGTTCAGTGTGAGAAAAAGGAGTCTCTGTTGCCAAGATTCTATGTTTCGTTAAAAATCATACCCAAAACTGACATTCATTCAGTCTTCAGCCATGAAACAGGCATTGGCCTTAGGTCTTCTTGGGTCAGAGTGCCGTTATGCATGGTTGGCCGTGCATGAACTTCCCAGAGAGCTGCCATCACCCAGGATCATAGTTTGTCTGTTGAAGGCTGGCCTCTGTGAAAATGATCTGGAATGATTACTAGAGAAAGGTGTTTGTGGTCTACTTTTAAAGTTTGACCACCACAGTGCAATTGTAACCATACAATAACTAATTTCATGTTTGACCTCATACACACAAGTCACATAAATATGTGCTGGGAACACAGCAGGCCATGGGAAAGAATGACCCACGAGAAGTAGCTCATCTGGACTCAGCCAAGTGTTTTCTAGTCAAATGTCTGTGAAGAAAGATGCTAACACAATGGACTAATGCTGATGAAAGGTAGATCAGCTCTTGGAGCACAAGTCTGCATTCTAGCAGTAGTTTAACTTTATGTGTATGTAAAATTCTGAGACTTTGAACAATGACTTAACAATTTATAAATTTCTCAGCATTGCCTCAGCCCCAGTCTCATTCCTGTAGGAAGCTGCCACTGTGGTAGGGAAACCCTCCTTACCACATGACGACACAAGTAACCATGAGTAGCTATGGCCTTTGTGGCCATGGCTACTCTTTGAACTAAAGTCCTGGCTTTAATCAGCACTTCACTGTGGTGCTCCTCACTAGAAAGCATCCTGCTGTCTTCTGTCTAGAATGGTTTTTGCCTGTTTTTAATTTGGATAATTTTCAGAATTTTCTTCTTTCAGAAGAATTGAAATGGTTTTGATAACTTCTTATAGTCAACTAAGTTGAATGATTCACTGATGATGCACAGAGATGGTAGTTTATTTCTTTTGAGAAAAGGAAAAATCAGCTGCTAGATTATCGTTTACCTCTCTTAGCCAAAACTACTGCCTGAGCTTTCTTAGTACTCCCTGTTCACTTGCTGTACTAAGTGGGTACAGTTCAAGTCTTAATACAAGAAATCCAGATGAACATGAGCATTTCAGTGTCAACACTTGAAGTTTAGATTTTATTATGATTATTACTATTATGCTTCACTATCTTACATTTTTGTGCCTTCTGAGACAGGTAGATCACACGAATAAGGTCAGTCCATTTAACAGACTGTTTTCCCCTTTGGTAGTACTGTGGAGCCCCAGAGCCACATGTGTGCGGGGCTCTAATGAACATTTTGACTCTAAGTGTTTCTCAGTAGTTAGTATTTCACCCTGTACTCCTCTTTTCTTGTACTTCCACTTTTAAGTATTCTTTATGATGCTGTCTGGTGGTTTCAAAGTGCAATAGCAAGCAAGATGACTTTAAAGCCCAGGCATCATTTTAGCTGATCAGAACACAGACTTGTCTTTTTTTTTTTTTTAATTCCCCAGTACTGGGGTTTGATCTCAGGGACTATACCTTAAGCCACTCCACCAGTCCTTTTTTGTTGTTTTTGATATAGGGTCTCATGAACTATTTACCCTGGCTGGCTTTGAACTGTGATCCTCCCATCTCTGCCTCCTGAGTAGCTAGGATTATAGGTGTGAGCCACTGAGGCCCAGCAGACTTGTCTTTTTTTTTTTTTTTAATGTACAGCTGTCACTTCCTTTATTTTTTCCCAAGCCCTTTTATAAAACGTGATGCGTGTATTCTGAAGAGGTCCTTACTCCAGATTTCTACCACAGAGCTGGTTGGTTGAATGTTGGTCCCTCCCTTGTACAGCCCCCCCCACTGCCCCGAACAAATCTAAAGACCCCCCCCAGTCCCATCTCTGGCACCAGTGTTGACCAGCAGAAGCTAGGACTTGCCTTTTCCCCTGAGGCCTGCATACAGCTGTGCTTTCTGAGAACTTGTCCCTCCTCCCCTGTTCCTTCTGTGAAGAGGCAGCCCTCCTTCCTTCAGGTCTATCTCAAAGGGTCTGTTTGTCCTATTTAGAGCAGACCCCACTCCAGCACCATTTTTCACTGAGTTTCACTTGTTTTCTTCATGGTGCTTATTATAGTTTGCAATTGGAATTTTATTTCTGTCTGATTTTGATTATAATTTTCATGGTGGTGTCTCTCAACTAGAATAAGCATTTCATGAGAATTCTGCCTGTCCCACTCACTCTTGTGTCCCCAGCACCTAGAGTTAAACTTCCAGCACAGGAGTAACAGGTGTTAGCCTCTGTTCAAGCTTATCTTGAAGTGTCATTGGTTGGACATATTTTCAAGTTTCATTTTCTGGCTTAATGCATGAGAAAATGACTGCAATGACATATTTGACTTAAAAGATCTCCAGGTTGTTATCATTAAGAAGATTTAAGTGTAAAGTATATGCCAAATCTCAGACTCCTTGACTAGAAGATTACTTGTCAGATAATCTCTGTTCCTGTCCATAAATCTGGAAAATTTAGAGTTTGTGGCCATACTCACTTTAGTAAACACATCTTAATAGCCAGAGCATATTGGGTTTAACAATGTTTTGTTTCCCTCCCCCCTCCCCCAGCCATGTCAGTTTGAGCAGTGCATCGTGCATTCCCTGCAGTCACTGAAAGACGTTCTCGATTGCAAGCCTGGAGAAGCCAGTGTGAGTTTCCATAGGGTTCTACCTGTTTCAAAATCTCCCAATACCCCTCCATGATAATCACAGTGGTGAACTTTCAAGTGAGTGCTGTATGATAGAGTTTTTCTCTTACTGCGTGTCCCTTTCATCTAGTTTTAACTACACAGACATGAGGCAAGAAGAACATGTGTGTTCAGGAGTTGTGGGCAAAGCACTTGGAGAGCACTATGTGTGCAGAGTGAATGATTGACCTGGGATTATTAGCCAGCTGGGGACCAGAACCACCTCAGGTGGGAAGCCACCATGGCTAATGCTTCAGAGTAAGGCTGTCCACACCTGAATCAGTTTTCCATATTTCAGCTCTTTCTATTTAATTTCACAAACAATAAGTTTTGCTTTCCTAGCAAACACCAAAAATTTTAATCAAAATTCTTCCTCATAGGTCTTTCAACAATCTAAAACACAGGAGGAGGTTTGCCAACTAAGCATCAATATCATGCAGGTAATATTTAACAGCAGTGCTTCCCAGTGCACTTATAGTCAGCCAGTCCTATTAATAAAGCATGTAGGGTATATATTAAGTATTCCTCACCTTTGTACACAGTTATGTACAGTACTAATGAAGGAGTACTTTCTGCTTCTGTTAGCAAAACTTGAATATCTCATTGATATTATGCTTCCTTTTTTTTTTTTTTTGTGTCTCATGGTACTTTCTGTATATTTCCTTTAGGTCTCAAAGTGAATTAAATGATTGTTTACATTTTGTCTGGAACATAAAGGTTTTTGATTGTTTTCAGTGCTTTGTGTGCACAGAAGCAAAGTCCAGCATGTTAGTGAATCAATTAGAGGAAGAAAAAAGGGCTTTTTTCCTAAAATGTATTCAGGAAATAAGAATCAGAACACCAGTACTTTTAGTTTCTGTCATGTGTGTAGTATGCATTGATGGAATACATATTTCTAATACACACACCTCCCCTCACCTCACTTATGGGATGTATTGTTCTACTTTAATTTATGTGAAATAGTTTTTAATGTCCAAATAGATTATGTCAGACATTGTCTCACTGAAACTTATCATTTTTGACTTAGGTTTTTATATACTGTCTGGAACAACTGAGCACCAAGCCTGATGCAGATATAGATACTACACAGTAAGTAGAAATGAAATTATTGCTGGGATGTAGCTTAGTGGTAGAGTGTTTACCTAGCATGCATAAGGCCCAGGGTTCAATACCACACCCCACAGGAAAAAAAAAAACAAAACCAAAAAAACTTGCCAGGTATGGTGGCACAGGCCTTTCAGGGCAAAGAGAGGCTGAGGCAGGAGGATCATCACTTATAGTTTAGTGTGGGTTGCACAGAGAGACCTTGTCTGAAAAAAAAAAAAAGAAAGAAAAAAATGAAAGTGATCTCATTGTTACATTTTTGGGATTTAAAAATGTAGACTCAGATTACATAGTTTTATGTATTGAGCTTTCAATCTTTCCATGTTCTGAATTTATCTTAGCCTTATTAGAGACATATTGAGCAAATTGTTCAAAAGAACAGATTTTATCAAGAATAAATTAGAAGGTTTAAATGTATGACTCCTAGCTGATTGCTTTTATACTTCTGGTGCTAGGGGATTGCACCAAGGCTCTGGTTAGAGATTAAGTCTGGGTCAGGCTTGGTTACTGGGGCTTCTGAGGACACACAAATCCGAGCAATAGCTCTTTCACAATGTTGCTGTATGGGACAGCAGTGTAGAATGCTGGCTGTAGTTCTTTTCTTAACATTTAGGCTTTCTGAAGGACACTTGGCATGTGTAACTTCTGTCCATCTAAGATTAATGCTCTGATATTGAAATAAATGCCTTTTAAATCTTGAACTTTTCCATTTACTGGTATTGGTTTTGCTTTTTATTGTAGAAAACTATCACCTCTCTAGAGACAAAATAAGATTTTAATTCTTCGAAGGTTTTCTTTGATTTGGCTTTATATGTTTATTTCCATTGGGACTTTGTATGGCTAAGTAGAACCTTAATGTTATTGAATAAATAAGTTGCTTTGTTACATTTCTGTTTCATACATCACTGAATTCTAATATATACTGTGATGTATTTCTGAACTTTATCTTCTGTTGTAGTTATTCCAAAATACTTTAAATTAGTTAATGTTATTTTAATTATAATTTAAGTTTTAATGTTTTTCAGATTGGAATCTCTATAAAATATTAGAAATATTTTATATTTTATACTTCCATATGAATTCTGAAATCAATCAATAAAGTTTAAAGAAAATAAATTCGAAAGCTGGTGTGGTGGCACAAGTCTATAATTCCAGGATCCAAGAGGCTGAGGCAGGGAGATCACAAGTTCAAGGCTAGCCTGAGCTATAGAGCAGCACCTTATCTCAGAAAGAAAAACAGGAAAAATTAAAAAAGAAAATCAATCCTACTGTGATGATTATTATGATTTTGTTGTATCAGAAACTTTATTAATGGATTTGTCATGCCCCTTCCCTTATACCCCCAGTTTTATATTTCTGTTAACTTTTGAGTTATTCAACTAATTTCTTAACTCAGTTCACTAGAGAATGGATTACAACGAAAGCTTCAAAAAGCCTCCTGGACCTGGCTAGGTATGGTGGTGCACAATGTAATCTCAGCAACATTGAAGACAGAGATAAGAGGATCACAGTCCAAGGCCAATTTGGGCAAAGCATGAGACTGTCTTTGAAAAACAAAGTAAAACAAAAATGGCTGGACGTGTGGCTCAAGTGGTACAGTGCTTGCCTAACATGCCTATGACCCTGAGTTTAAACCCCAGTACTGCAAAAAAGGAAATTCTGATAGGTAAAAATATTTAAATTATTTGCATATTATTTAACATTTTCCATTTTGTTTTTCAATTTAATGAAGTCACTATTGAGAAGACTCAAAAGCAATTTTTTCTTTTCTTTTTTTTCTTTTTTTGTGGTACTGGGGCTTGAATTCAGGGATTACACCTTGAGACACTCCAGCAGCTCATTTTTTTATGTGTGTGAAGGGTTTTTTTGAGAGAGAGGCTTGGGAAGTATTTGCTCCGGCTGACCCCGAACCACGATCCTTCTCACCTCTGCTTCCTGAGTAGCTAGGATTGCAAGTGTGAGCCACTGGCGCCTGGTTCCAAAAGCAAATTTTATGTAGCCCTTGTTAAGAGGTAGTCTGTGTGCCTTTCTTAAGCTATTTATTATTAAGTTTAAAGAAAACTTACAGGAAGTTATGTGATTTTTCTTCACCAAAACATTTTAAAGTCTAATTTATATGTAGTTCATTTTGGTTTTGTTTTTAAATTTTAGTGTTTTTAATTGTAACTATTCTTTTACTTGCTTCTATATTCAGTCTTTCTATGGATGTTTCTTCTCCTGATTTGTTTGGAAGTATCCATGAAGACTTTACGTTGACTACTGTAAGTAAGAGAATATAAGGAAAGTAAAATATATCATTTTAAAACTGCTGATTGTGTTACACTGTGTAAAAGTTTTAGGAAAGTATAATTTATACATATTCAACACTTAGGATTCTTTAGCCGAAGTTGCACTAATGTGGTCTCATACACTTACCACATCTGTGCAGAGTCTTGAGTTCAAAGGGGCCCTCATAGTTCCCTGTCATGGGCACTCAGGAACAAGGGCATTCCCCTACCTTTTGCCTCTTTAGGCAGAGAAACTTTGCTTTTTTTCTGATTCATTTCTAGGAGTGTCAGGTTGGGGCGGTGAAAGCCTTCATAGGCTAGGCTGTAGGAGTGTTTCCATGAGCCGCTAGGAGACAGCTGAGTGTCTTGGATAAAAGTGGCAGGAGCCAAGGAAAGCCTAGAAAGAAAGAGCTAGAGGGGAGTGGGGCTGAAGGAGGGGTCCTTAGAAATTGATTAAGACCTTGCCAGCCATCTGGCAGCTGTGGAGCAGGTAACAAGCTTGGGAATCTGTGGAGCTACCTCCTGGGAAGCTCCCAAGCTGCCCTTCAGGCCACAGCTTCCTGCTGACCCACAGTGAGCTTCCCCTTAGTGGCCCCGGAGCTCCACAATTGCTCTGTTTTTCACAGCACCTCAAAGCTGTCCCATTTTACCCTCCGAAGATTATTCATTTGTTACCAAATACATTTCCCATGGAAAGATTCTTCCTTAGGTCTGGCCCTTGTTCTCAGTGGACTCACAATATTAGGGTCCCATGTTACCCAGATTCAGTGATAAGTAAGAAGGAGATCTAGAGTAGAGTCAGACACTCAAGTGTGCTTCTTACTCACGTGTGGGGGTAAGGGATCCTCAAGGAGCGCGTCTAGGTGCTATACTCTCCTGCATCTGGAGCAGAACCACCAGCTGGCTTCACATCTGCAAGTGCTATGGAGGTTGGCTGCATCTGTACTATCAAGTACATGTCAACCATCCAAGGTTAAGAATTGGACTGTGGTGCCCACTTGTTCTCCCACTTTTATTTCATTTGATTGGGTAGATTTGAGGAAAAAAATACACTTACTCAGGGTGAGACTTTAGGTCACTCAAGTAGTTTTTCTCTTTTTGAAGAGGAACTGTGCATATTACTGTGGGGAAAATCAAGCTAAGACAGCTGACTAATGGGTGGAGCAGACTCTACACGCTCAGTCAGCAGAGAAGGTTTGATACTTGAGGAAAAAGTAAGAAAGGATCGATTTGAAAGCCAAGAAACCAGTGGAATTCTGAAGAGTCCAATGTGTTTGGAGTGGCTAGTGAAATGTCGTTTACTTTATTCCATGTGCTGTGAAAGGTCTGTTTGGGGATCTCAGGCCTGGGGACCAAAGGAAAATTTGATCTCACCATGCCTGGCCTGCTTTCGTTCTAGTGTCTTTCCTGCCATGTATTCACCAAATTGGGAAAGAATATTATATGGATTATTTCCCTATTATCCTTGTTCATATTCCTTTTCCCATCCATAAGTTAGTTCAGGGCCATTAGCAACCTTTTGTTTGAAGGTACAATTATATATCTATATCTATAGCTATCGATAGCTATATCTATAGCTATCGATAGCTATAGATATAATATCTGTGTTATATATCTATATCTATATCTATATATATAATATATATATATTGGTGGTGTTGGGGTTTGAACTCAGGGTCTCATGCTTGCTAGGCAGGTGCTCTACCACTTGAGCCATACCTCCAGCCCTTTTGACTTTAACTTTAGTTTGTTTTTTATAGGGTCTCGATGCTTTTGCCCAGACTGGCCTCAGACATTTTTCTCCTACTTCTGCCTATTGAGTAGCTGAGATTATAGGCATGCTACTACCATATATGGTGCCTATCATTCTTGACATTTTACTTATGTTTGTTGATGGCCAGAAAGTGCACTTTGCCAGAAACAAAGATAATAACACTTTAAAGAAGTATAGTAGGTGTGGACATTTGATTGAGCTAAATTTAATTATTGGGGCCATATAAGATTTGCTTGATTATTGATTTCAAAGACTGTAGTTCATCTTTGGTCCATATACCTTGAAGAATAGGAACCTGTTTATCTCTACATTTTCTAACTGGAGTACTTTATTGTAAATTACTTTGATTTTCTACAGAAAGAAGCAACCAAGTGTGTATGAGAACTTTTCCTGGAAAGTGGTTTTGCCTTAATTTTACTCAGGGATCTTGAGCAAAGGGCCCCAGATGAATCACACTGTTCCAGAGGGTGCCTTCAGCACCTGCCATGGACAGACCCTGAGCTCTGAACTGCAGCCATGGTGGCACGGACCATTCCTGGAACATTTGTCACAGAAATAACTCTTTTGAACTGTAGAATACATTGTATTCATCAGTACGGGGGCCCAAACATTTTTTCTAAGAAATACTCAGGTGGACATAACCCTGGTGGGCCTGCTACTTCCTGTGAAGGAGTCCCTTGGCCTCGGTGACTTCCACTCACTAAAGGGAGGCTCTTGATACACTCAATTCTTATATGAGGCAGATAATGTGGCAGCATAATTCTTTTCCAAGTTATGAAAAATTTATATATTATTTTCTAATAGTTTCTACATTTTATATAATTAATTATAAATAAAATAACCATTTTATAACCTTTTTATATACATAAAGTATTAAAGGAAACATTATCTTTGGGGGAAGTATACTGGAGATTGAACCCAGGGCCTGGTGCGTGCTAGACAAGCGCTTACCACTGAGTTACACTTCTAGCCCCTATTTGGCTTTTCAGTGTACTATGTGATAGTGAGCAATTAGTTGAATTGTAGAATTCTGTGATGTAATTATACTATGTTAATGTTAGGAAAGATGCAGCCAAGAAAAGCATATTGATGTTAAAGGGCAAGAACTTACAACTAAATTTAGCAAGTGGTCAGGGCTTTTTGTTGTACTTACCATTTGCTACTATCAGTGCAGTTCTCTGAAGATTTGTTTTGCTTCTAGGAACAGCGACTTTTGATAGTCCTGAGTAATTGCTGCTATCTAGAACGTCACACCTTCCTAAATATAGCAGAGCATTTCGAAAAGTACAACTTCCAGGGAACTGAAAAAATAACACAGGTGAGTGAGTTCTTGTGGAGTGCCCAAGCAGAATGATTTACCAACATGATGGTTTACCTACTTAGTTTCCAAGCTGTTTCCTTCTTTCTGTTTCCTGTGTTTGCCCTCTCCATCATTTCCTTCCCACTGCCCCAGCTGTCTTGAATGATTCCCTTCCTTCTCTGGCCCCACCTTGAATTGCTAATTTAATACTCTGTTCTTCTCTAGAGCAAAGCCTTCTCAAGATGGAACAGGTTGCTTCCCCTCCAGTTCAAAACTGAGGGAAGAAAAAAGGAAAGGCATTAATCCAAATCTTTAAGAATCACCCCCAATTTGAGTCCTTTGAAGTTAACACTTTGAGGTTCAGCCAACAACATACTCCCTAAGTCTGCAGACAACCTCTTCCTGCTGCTCTACTCCTCTTTCCTTTCCATGTGACCACAGCAAGGCCTTCACTGTATTTCTTAACTGTGTGCATGTGCCACATACCACACATAACATACGCACACACACAACATGCAATACACATGCTCTCCACATGCTGCACTACATACCATACCACACACACAAACCACACATGCACCACACACCACACACATGCAGCACTCAACACACATCACACACATACACTTCACACACACCCCCACACACATCCCACACACCACACATGCACACACACGTACCACAGACATGCAGCACTCAACACATACCACACACAAACACTACACATGCTCACCACATGTTGCACTACATATCCCGCCCACACACAATACCATACACACCACACATACCACATACACACATATCACACATGCACCACATACCACAGACATGCAGCACTCAACACACATCACACACACCACACACACAAATACCACAACATGCACACACACTAGGCAGAGACCACACACATAGTACACAAATACATGCACACATACCCCACTGCATACATGCCACCTACCACACATACAAACACACACACACACCACACACCACATATGCACACTACATGCACAAACCACACACTCTCAGTGCACAGTGGACAAAAATAAGTCCTGCCAAATCAATGGCGTGATTTTTAAATAATGTTATCTCTTGTTTATGTTTTTCTCAAGTAAGCAGAAAAGGAAAAAATGAAGTAACCTTATTATTAAAGGTTGGTTGGTTCATGGGCAAAGGTTTATCAGATTTCTAAGTAAAACTGTGCTAGAAGCCCTTTTAATGTCAGTACACTTTTTTCAATGCAAAGAATAAGGAAGATAATGATCTTGTTAATCATATAACCAAAGTTTACTGTTGGTGGATTACATACTTTTATAAATGATGGTTCCAGCTCATAAGCTAGATTGGGATTTTTTTTTTCAAAGAATGAAAATGTCAGAGTGGGTGGTTCTGTCTTGTTTTCCTGCCTTTTCATAAAGATTAATCATCCTGATGAGAAATGTTGTGAATTAAGCTTTAGGGCCAAATGTCTAGTTTATTTCCAGAATTTTTGGTGTTGAGAATTGCAAGATGTTATCTAAATTATTATTTGTTAAAGTAGATGCTTTGTTTTCATATCATAAAATAGTGCCATTAATATATTTATTGGAGAAATGTTATCATTTAAAATATGTGAAGTGATTAAGAGTTGCATATAAGTGGACCAATACATTTGATTTTCTCTAGGTTTTTGTGAAGTTGTAGGTAGAAACTATCTGTTGCTTCAGTTTATATCATTTAGAAGCAAAATGAATTTGACATAAAAGAAGGTTTTTTGATATCCAGTCTTTGTCCAGATCATTTTGAGAAACAAGAAAATATGAAGGATCTGGGGGCTCGGCTTAGAATAAATTATGACACTCCCCCCCCACAGAGAAGCTGGATTTTTAAAAAGTGAACATCTTGAGCATTTGTAACTATTCAATTGTGGTTTAAATGAATAAACAGTAAATGAGATCTAGATTATAGCATCTCCGCTGATTCTATTTATTATGTGTTAAATTCATTCTTTTCATAGTACAAGCAAGTAAAATATTTCTTGGAGTAAAGGATGAAGTTTACTTGCTGTCCTTATTTTTCTTAGTTCCCTTTCCAAAGGAGAGGTAACTGTAGAGTCATCCCTGAAAAATCACAGGGCACAGAGAGTCACAATGCACATTTTCCTCTGCTTTTGATCTTGGAGATAAAAGTCCATTAGAGGGTTTCTCACATGGTATCATTGGACACTAGATGCTCTCTCAGACCCCTTCGGGGGAGGGGTAGTGCTTGGCAGGGGTTTCTTTGTCCACATTTCCTCCTTCCCTCCTCACTCCTTCCTTCTCTCCCTTCTTTCCTTCCTTTCTTTGCCCCCTTTTTTCCCTCTATCTGTCTCTTCTTCTTCCTCCTCCTTTCTCTCATTCTCTCTCCTGCCACCCTTTGGATTGAACCCAGGGCTACTCCTATGCTAAGCAGGAGCTCTACCACGGCTACCAGCCTCCCTTCTGCTTTCTGTTGATACTTCTGCCAGCTAGAGGCCTAAAAGCAGCTGTTTTTTACATTCCTTTGTCTTGTGCTTCACCTTCAAAAGTAAAGTTCAATTAATCTTAGTATACAATTAGTACACAGATAATCATGTAAGTTACTGACCTGAAAACAGTAGAGCAAGGCAGGCTTAAAAATCCAGTCCATCACCTTATAAAGAATGAAAACACATCATGAAATGAAAATAGGACGTGAGGCTAGGTGATTGCTGTGGTCTTGTTGGCCTTTACACCAAAACGCTGAATGGAAAATCAGAGTGTCCAGATCATCTCACCTGCAAGGGGCCTCTTGAAACAAGACCCATGAGGGCCCTCCAGGCCTCTGTGTGCTTTGAATCCCAGGCAGCAAGTGCCATGTGTCTACAAATATGTTTTCCCACTTATGTAAACCCTATCATTTTTTTAAAAATGGGAAATACTGAGAGATCTAAAGTAATAAAAAATAATCTTGAAAACACCAACTAAAGGTAAGCACTTATGCTTTGGTATTTATAGTAATCAGTATTTTATATATATGTCATACATATATATACCTATATATATTAAAAGTACAAAACATTTTTCTGAATTCACTTTACATTGAATGTATTTTTTATTGCATACCTTGTACTTTTCCATTTTTATTAAATACTTCTATAAAATATGAGTTTCATAAAATATGACTGAATACTGTTGGTTAATGTGCACATACCATACCTGTTTAGCCTGTCCCCACTGGGATCCTTGAGGTCATCTTTGTTTGTATTATTCGTGACACTGGAGGATAGCCTTTGGTCATGCATTTCATTTCTTCCCGCAGTGGGATGTGGATGTGGACTCGCATCTATAGACCCTGTAGGTAAAGATTGCCAGGTTGCTTTTGAAAAGCTGATCTGACCACAGTTTTGCCCTCATTTTGAAACTGTTATAATTTTTATTTTGGTAAAGTACTCGTTCATATATTTTAATTTTCATGCCTTCCCCCTTTTTAGGAGATTAATAATTTTTTTCTGTTTATTCATATTTTATATTCTAGAAGAGCTGTTTTGAAGGCACTTAGAGAGTTAGGAAATACAGAGTTTTATGTTCTGAAGTATATAAAACCACATGTACCACAAGTCAAATTTGTCAATTCAGACCTTTGAAAGGGAAAACCAAAGATGTGTGGTTATTAGACTTTGCATAAAATTTTGTTGTAGCTGTAATGATATAGTTCCAGAGAATTTTTTAAAAATATATGAGCTATTATTTTAACCTGTCCCAGTATTCAGAAAACATGTATCTTCTTCAGTGTTCATACAATTGGAGATTTCTGCCTCACTTGAGAAATGTAAACATTAAACAAGCCTGGCATTAAATTTCATTATTGAAGCTTTATTTAAGTCCCTCTAAATCTCTTTCAGAAACTCAACATCCAGGTGTAGAGAGGGCAAACTTGTTTTTCTCATGTGTCCAGGGAAGATCATTTATACAGCAGTCTATTTTAAATATATTTCCATTGCTTGAGCCGTGTGTACCATATTTTGTGTAGATGATTGTTTTTAGCTTAATTATATATACTTCTTAAATTTCAATTTTGAAACCACTAGAATTCATAGAGGAGAATGAATACAGCCTTGTTTCTTTACTGTGGTATTATCTGTATATATATTTGTTTCATTTTGCCCAAAATTGGGCAAAAAGGCAAGACCCTATCCTAAAGATAACTAAAGCAAAAAGGACTGGGGGTGTAGAGAGCCTGCCTAGCAAGCACAAGGTCCTGAGTTAAATCCCAGTCACACACACACACACACACACACACACACACAAACACACACACACACACAAACTTATCAGAAATTTTAAGTTGATCAGAAGTGTCCCTGCTTACTAAATACTGAACTTAATTTTTGACCCTGCTTAGCTACCTCAAGTTCCTTGTACAAATGCAACTTCCCTTCTTAAACAATTTTAATAGGCTTCATTATTCTGTTTTTATACATGTGTATAACATACTTTGATCATATTCACCTTCCTACACTCTCTCTTTCACTCTGCCCTGTGTTCTATACACAATGGAGTATTATTCAGCCATAAAGAGGAATGAAATTATGTTGTTTGTAAGAAAATGGATGGAACTAGAGATCATCATGTTAAGTGAAATAACCCAGACTTAGAAAGACAAATCTCTCATGTTCTCTCTCATATGTGGAACCTAGACCTTAAAAAATGAATGACAGAGTTGGGTGCGGTGGCTCATGTCTGTAATCTTAGCTACTTGGGAGGCATCTCACCACTGAAAGCTGGGCATGGTGGTGTGCACCTGTCATTCCAGCTGTATGGGAAATGTAAAATAAGTGGATTGCAGTCTAGGCCAAACAGAGGACAAATGTGAGACCCTATCTCAAAAATAACCAAAGCAAAAAGGTCTGGGGGTATGCCCAAGTGGTGGTAGATCAACTGCCTAGCAAGTGCTTAGTCCTGGGTTCAAACCCCAGTACTGCAAAAAGAAAAAAAAAAGGGACAATAGAAGTAAAATGGGGATTCTCTGTGGGGGAGGGTAAATGTTTTTAAAAATATTTTACATATGAAAGAGATCATATAGCTCTTTCTTTTGGTGCCTGACTTATTTTACGTAACATAATGTACTTCATCCATGTTGTTGCAAATGACATGATTTCATTTTATGGCTGTGTAGTATTCCACTGTGTGTGTATCATATTTTCTTTATCTGTTCATTCTTAGGTTGATGGGAATTACTCTTGACTCTGCCCCTCATGTCAGTGCATGCTAAGACTCTTTCTTAGCTTGACCCCTGTGCCATCCTGTGATCCACTTCTCTCAGCCTCTGTTCCTGTGCAAGCTCAGCCCTCTTCTGCCATTTCCTCACTGTGGCATGGTAGGAAATAGGTGTTTAAGCTCTAAATTCTTTCTCTTCCTAATTCATCCTGCACAGAATGTTCAAGGAGCTTTCAGAAGCATCTAATTCTGTGGCTCTTCCTCTTTCCCACATTTCAGAGTTCCACATCGCCTGAAGACTGAAAACTAACAGATGGGATTTGTGTAGGGCTTTAATCTTTTCCTCATGTCTTTCATCTCCCTCCACTCCAGGCCACTCCAGCCAATCCACTCGGCTTCCTGGCTCATTCACTCATTCACCAAATATTCAGTCAGCACCAGCTTCTTAGGCTCAGTTGGAAGTGCACTACCTGTAGCATGTGTTGTACTGTCACAAAATCTTGATCACCCTCCAAAGCCATTCAAGAGGCAGATGCCTCTTCCGGAATAAAGCATCTATGGCCTCTCCTTGTCTATTCTCCCAGAGGGCAAAAAGAATTGTGTTCTCTTCTTTCTTCCTGTTATGTTTCCTTTCTTCCACTGGATAGCACTTCCATTTTGCATTATGATGAACTCAGAGTCCATTAAAGTCTCTTATTGGGCCAGCTCATGACTGTAATTCCAGCTATATGGGAGGCATAATGGTCAGCTTGGGCTTAAACCATAAGACCCTATCTAAAAAATAACTAAAGCTAAAAGCAACTAAAGGCAGGGCATATATGGTAGGACACCTGCCTAGAAAGCACAAAAGTCCTTAGTTCAAACTCTAGTACTGCTCCTACCCCAAAAGACCTCCTTCTGTAGGATATGTATTGGAGCTCCTCACTTTATTCTCTGTGTCTCTTCAATGTTTTTTCTTTTTTTCATTTTTTCCTCATCTTTAATTCTCTGTACTAATTAGGGATCATTTCTTCAGCTATCTCATTCATTGTGTTTGTAGTTGTGTCTAAGCTTGCTGAAATTTGCTGCCTATTGAAATTTTATTTTGTCATTTTTCATCTCTAGAGACTTGTGATACTTTGGTAAGTGAGAGAGACAGATTAATTTACTATGGAATGTATAATTTCAATCATCAGTGAAGGAGGTATTGGCAGTGAAGTTCTTCCCAGTGCCCCTCAGACTGTGCTGTGTAGAGTCAAGTCGAACAGTCTTCATCAAGTATGTGATGATCCTGTTAAGGAGAAGGTTGGAGCAAGCAAGTGTAGCCTAATGAGTAAGGTGTGGATGTGGTTAACTTGAGTATAAGACATTCACAGAGAGTGATGACTCCACTAAACTTTTGAGTTTAATAAGCTGAGTTAGTCACCAGCAAGACCCCAGAGGGAGGTAGACAAGTGAGGAAGGAGGGTCACTAGCAAGTCCTCAGACTTGTATTCTGCTTCATCATGACTTTCTTTCCTCTGTTATGCCACCTCTTACTACAGATTAAGAGTGTATTGTGGATATTTAATTATTTACTTGACATTTGTTTTGTTCACATTCTACAAGTTGTAGTTTAATAACATAAGGGAATGTGAGTTTGCCATATGTCTTGCCATCCATTTGTAAGGGGCCAAATGCGTATTATTTAAATGTATTGTTATTCAATATATTAATTTGACTGAGCCTCGTTATCCAGAGTCACTTGCCTAGGTGTTCTGAGGAAAATTAAGTGAGTTTGTTTCTATACAGATGAGCAACTGTAATGTAGTCTTTCTGTCTGAAATGAAAATTGCAGTTTATTTGTTTTTTTCCCCCTCAGAGACAGTCATTTTAAAAAGCGTTTCTATCAAAACATCTTTTAAGTCTTATATTTGAATATTTCAATTGGAAAATTTAAAATATATCAAAATAAAGAATATATCATTTTAACCGTTTTGGTTGCGTTAAAGACAATTTCCCAGAAATTTAAAAATGTGATGTCAGTCTAGGTGTTTCTTCTTCAGCACTGCTAGTGGTGAACATGGCAGGAATATGGGACTGGCTACACAGGGTAAGAGCATTCTTCTGTATCTGCAATTCTCTAAGAATTGCAGAGTAAAATGCTGTCATGGTAATATTTTCTTTGGATCAGAAATGGCCCTTCTAATACATCCTTCACCTCAAAAATACTGTGAAAATGCTTCTCGTATGTAGGAATTTAGCAAGTAAGTCTATTTCTGAACGCAGAATTATTGAATTATCACTTTTTTTTTTTTTTAAGAAACATGCTGATTTTAATTAGATGCACCTGGCCTCCCAAACCCTTTCTCCAGGGTACCCTTCTGGGCAGCCTTTCTCAGCCCCATCATCACTGCTGTACTCTCTCTCTGCCTAAGAAATGTATTGCTTTCTAAAGATTTTCTTTTCTTCCTTTCTTACTAAATTGATTTCCTTAGTCACGGTACTTTTCTTGACTGAGTGTGGTAGTGTACATCTGTAATTCTAGCACTAAGGAGGTTGAAGCCAGCCTGAGCTACATAGTGAGAGCCTGTCTCTTACTTAAAACTTGTATCTTGCATTCCCAGAGTGGCTCTCTGGATCTATTTAGGTCTATGTTTATAGATATTAGAGAGGAGAGGTGAAGGAGGAGGGAATTCAGATTTAATTGTCTGCCACTGTTTTCCTCAGTTGTTCACCTTCCTCGGTCTTTTTCATGTATGTAGATGATGCGCTCTTTGAATCCTTTCCAGCCCCAAAATATGTTTCTTGGACTTGGTTAAGAGAATGACATCTTGGCTAAATATAGGATTCTTGGGTTGTGTCCTTTATTGCTATAGATACTATCCCTGTGATAATGGAATGTATTGCATGTGAGAAATTTTTATGTTATTCTGAATTCTTTCTCCTGTTTTCTCCAAAAAACTACCTATTTTTTTGATCTGGATGCTTGAAAGGTTCTTTCCCTCCCTCCCTCCCTCCCTCTCTTTTCCTTTCTTTTTTTCTTGGAACTTCTGTAGTATTTGCCTGGGTATGTAGAATGCCTCATCCATCTAGCGTGGAACTCAGCAACTCTATTCAAGCTCGGATCCAGTCTTTTTTTTTTTCTATTGTTTATTTAATTATCACCTTTTTTCTAATTGCTCATATATTTCTACTTGAATTTCTGTCTTTTGCATTATAGGGCTCTTAGATTGGTCTTCTGTTCTCTTCCTCATATTGTTCCATCTCCACCTGTTTGTCTTGCGCTTTGAAGTACTCATTGCACCTCATTTTAGTATCAGTGGTGACCTGTAGTTTCTTTAATGCAGTGTGTTGCTAGGTTTGGAATGTGTATCTTGTTTTGTGATGTTAGATATATGTTAGTTTTTTGGGTCAGCATCCTCAGGTCAGGTGGTGGAGAGAGCTTGTGTCCCTCAGGCCCGTGGCATAGTAGAATGAAAGCAGACTGTTCACAGTCCTCTGCAGAAGCTCATAAGCCTACAGATTTGCACCTTCTGGTAACTTCTTGGCCCCTTGTGTGCCACTAAGACTCAGAACTAGCATGAGACTGGTGCCAACTTACTTAACCTTGTCCCGTTCCCACTCTCCACAGGGGCAGAGCTGTGTCTCTCTGTAGTTCATATACCTTTGCACACTAATGTCCTTAGTGTTGCTGTTTGACCCATGTGGGCATATGAGCCCCACACCTCATCTCTCCTAATTAATACCCTCAGCACAGTGCATCCCCAAGCCATATCAGGCAGAGTGGTAGCTGGAGGAAGAAGCCATATGCCTGCATTTGGGATATTAGAGTTCAGAACAGATTTAGTTTATATTAATAGCACTTTTGAAATGAAGTTATTAATATAGAGAAACAGTTGTATTATTTTAAATGGTTCCTTTTTTGTAGTTTACAGTTTAGTATTTATGAAACCTCTTTGCTCTGCTTACAGAAATGAAAGTTTAGCATTTTCAAAGACAGCCTGTAGTCCATAGATGGGAATTGTTTCATATTCTGTGCTAAGAGGGGCCCTTATTACTGAAGTAGATAAAAGCAAAATCTTGAGTTTTTGTAGGAAACCTGGTAAAGGCTTAAAGATATGGTGAAGTAATTCGTTTGTTTTACTTTGTAGAATGACCCTCTTATGGTCTTGTCCTTCTAGGTTAGCATGGCCTCACTGAAAGATCTGGACCAACGACTCTTTGAAAATTACATTGAGCTAAAAGCAGATCCCATAGTTGGCTCTTTGGAACCTGGAATTTATGCGGGCTATTTTGACTGGAAAGACTGCCTGCCTCCAACAGGTAAGTTCCTGAAGGTGCTGGAGTTCTCTGTACATGCTCTAGTGAAGCTAGAGTTACAGGTGTGGATATGGCCTTATCAATTAAAAGACTTTTCTCTATATTCACATTTTTCTCATACTTACTGAGAGTGGAGATTAGTTTAAACTTTTTTTTAGATTATCATTTTTTGATCGTTGGTAATGTAGTATACTTTTATTATGAATACTCAGTGGCTTAGTTATTCTTTAACTCCAGAGAATCATTATTTTATATCTTATAATCATTGATTATTTTAGTAATGCATACTTGCTTCCTGTGACACTTCTTTTTTGCATAGATATATCAGAGTGACTCTGAGTGACAGTTTTATGCAATGACCTTGTGATCGTCATCTAAAAATTTAAGAAATCTGGTCACTTCTGGGTAAGATCTAATGATTGATGCTAAGAAGTGAAGGGTTAAAGGAAAATGGGTAGGAATAAGATCATGATGATAATTTAACAAAGAAAATTTAATCACAGAAGGATGACAGGGACGGTTCCAGTATTACCTATGTGCTATTACTTGAAAGTTACTTAAATCTCTATTATGTATATTTTAAAAATAACTATTGCTTTTGAATCATATAAACTTTTTGACTGACCAAATAGTTGTTTCTTTTTCCAAAGCAAAGTGGAATACTTAAAAACAAGGTACCTGCTAACACTTCTTATGTGGAAGTGGTCATATGTTGAAATGGCCATGCTTATATTAGACATGGGTTCTTCTTGGGTATATGTGTGGATGTGCCAATGAATCACAAACAGGTTTAGCTTAATCTTTATTCTTTTTTTGGGGGAGGACAGTACTGTGGTTTGAACTCAGAGCCTTGTGCTTGCTAGGCAAGTGCTCTACTACTAGAACCACACCCCCAGCCCTTTTTGCTTTAATTTTCTTTTAATAGGGTTGTACGTTCTTGCCTGGGCTGACCTGGACTATGTTCCTCCTATTTATACCTCCTGCATAGCTGGAACTATAGGTGCATGCCACCATGCCTTGCTTACTGGTTGAGACTGGGTCTTGCTAACTTTTTTACCTGAACTGGCAAATCTAATCTCCTAATCTTTGCCTCCTGATTGGCTGGGATTACAGCATGAGCCACTGTGCCTGGCTTAATCTTCACTCTTTAGACTAATCACTGTGATTGTTTCATTTTTATTCATAAATAGTGATGAAATTGTTTATGGTTTTAAACATCTTTTGTGTTACTGTATAGTGTTCATATATAGTGATGCCCAAACCAGAATCATTTAAGTTAATAACATTTTACATAACCACAGTTATTTCTTTTTCTGAAATCACAGTCTGTATAATCATATGAGATCCTAGTCCTCCAGCTGGCCGTTATAGGTCTTTTTTCCCTTAAACTCCATTTTTTTCTTATTTTCATACTTTACAGTGCCCCAAACTGGATTATAGTTCATATCCAAACTATTTATTTTTAAAGTCCAAATCAGATCCATTAGAATCTTGTTTAAAATTCATGCAGTAGAATCTGTGAAGCTAGGCTGTACAACTCTACCCTCTTTCCAGTTGGCCTCTAATTCTGCCTTTTTGAAAAGCTCATCCTTCTAAAATATAAACTGGATCCCGTTAGTCTCCTACTTTGAGCTCTTCAGGGTGACCATTTTTTCTCAAGCTAAACCTGAATTTCTTAAGCAGCACTAAGTCTTTCCTGTACTCACCTGCGCTTGCTTGTATGCCTTCCCTCCTTCCTTTCCTCCCTCCATGTGTCTCCTACCCCACTCCTGCCTGTTCCTCACTTCCTGGGCCCTGCCTGCTGTGGGAAGCTCTCCCAGATACCCTGCCACTGCCTTTTGGTGAGGTGACTGCTCCTGGAGCACTGCCTGTCCCTGCAGCACTCTGAACATGGGGAGTGTATGCCATTGTCTGTTTCCCTGCAGGTCATCCTTACTGAAAAGGCCCTTCTAACACCTGAGCTCCCAAATGCTCTCCGCGTGGATGTTGAATGAATGAATAGTGGTAGCTCATTAACACACAGTCCTTCTGCATGTGCAGGTTCCTCCTCAGTTTATCTTGCAAGTGTTTCTATGGTTTTGCAGTGATTAGTCTCAAATTTTTGTTAAGCAGGAAAGTAAATGTTCTTGTTTCCATTATGATTCTCCTTCACTTTTTGATAAGTAGCACACGAAGGATAGTCATACTTACTGAATATTTAGCACTCAGTTTTTGTCTTCTGTGATTTCTTATATGACAGCCATATGAGCTCTGTAAATTTTGAACAATTGCATTTCAGTTAAAATGCAACTATCAAGTATGTCTAGCACATCAGCAGTGCTATGTGGCATCACCTTGCAAAAAGTAATACATATTTTAGTGATAGTTTAGATGAATTTACTGAAATTCATATTATCTTTAACTGTTAGCCTGTGTTAGGCATTAGTTGTTAGCACTGAAATGACTCTTCTATTATTTGGCATATGTTCAGGGTATTAAACTGTTTGCATTGTTTCTGTGGGAATAAAAATGCTCATGACACAACTGCTTTAATGATTACTGCAATAAGTTAAAATTGGTGCCTTAGTTTCAGTCTCTACAAACAGAGGTTCACATCTGCCTCCATCTAAAACTCTGGTTGTTCCTGAGAGACAGTACAGGGTAAGACTTCCTTCTCCTTGCTAGCTGTCTCCCAGACTCACTGCTTCTCTTGGAAAACAGTAACTCTAGTTCAGTAGGAATATTTCCTGTTGGGTAGAACCAGGTCCATTCTCTCTCCACTTCACCCCCCCAAGGGCATTGTTGCAAAAGAGACATCATGAAGTCCTGAAGGGTGTTGTTAGGTCATAGTACTTCAGAGATAGTGGCTGCAGGCCATTCTTACCTGTTTGTATACTTGTGACAATACTTCAGTATAAATTAATCAGAGGGTTTGTGAATGGCTAGCAGGCTAATGGGGATCCTAGGTTTCCATTTACTTTTGATTAGATAACAAAAGGTAGGCTTTCCATGTCCTTCATTGCAATGTATTCATTTAAGGTACTGAAATTCCTTTTTTGTCTTTATACTTTTTCACTTGTGATATTGAACTAGTCCAGGCCCTGGATATAAGATAGAGTTACAGTCTAAAAATTTATCTTAATAATATTTTATAACCTCAGACAATTTTTTTATGGAAAATGAAGATTCTGCTGGCTGGGTGATATCAAGTGATGTGGCCAATTTTTATCTATTTCATTTTTGTTTTGTTTTGTTTTAAGATAAACTTCCTTCCATAAGCAAGTGGCACATAACACCATGATGTCCACAATTTATTGACTCCCACTTAGTCTGCAAAAACACTACGAAGCCATCAGTGCTCACTTTACTTTATAAACTTGCTTAATTCTATTCTTTTATAATTTTGACTTCATGATTACATCAGAACCTTAGTCTTGGCATAGTCATTTAGTGGTTTGTAGTTTAAGTTGACATAAGTTGAGATCTCATGAAGTGACTAGTCAACATAGTTTGACTATTAACTTTCAAAATAATTTTAATTGATAACTTTAGTACTATCTTTAGATTTTTCATGTCCAAAAGCTGAATTTTGCAAATCATATAGGTAACTAATTATTTATTACTGTAGTTAGTAATAAATTTAGTTTCTGATACTGTATGTAGTAATTTTTAAAATCCAGTTGATTAATTTCATGATTCAGAAAGAAATATCCATCAAAGTCATTGCTATGTTTTTTCAACCAGACAGATGGGTATTTAAATAAAAAATTTTGTTTGTGTTTGTGAGGAAAGATCATGCTGGTTAGTTCTGAGTTATATAACTGATGGTTCTTAAGGTTTTGACTGTTCTATTATCATTGATTATTTAGAGCTCTGAGCTGTATTTTATAAATCTTAACTAAATTGAGGATATTCTTGGTCTTCCATTTTAAATACTCATGGAAGTTAGCATCTTTAAAGCATATCATAAAAAGCTTTCTTTAAATTTTCTCTTACATTGTTTTTAACAAAACAAGGGGCTTTGAATAACTCAGTCTTGAAGAGGAACAGGAGATTGGTGTACTCAAATAGTTTGGTGTGAAGACTTTATAAAGCTACTATAAGAAAGATGTGTAGTAGGGTGAGGTGGCCCAAACAGTGTATACACACGTGAGTAAATGTAAAAACCATTAAAAAAAAAGATGTATAGTATTAGCAGAAGGGTAGACAAATAGGACAGAAAGGACCCACAAATATGTTCATTTTGACATAGGCACAAAGAGATGTCCATGGTGAAAACAAGTCTTTTCAACAGATGTATTGGAATAAGTAGATGCATTTATGAACCTGCTTTTCACAAAATACAGCATACAAATGGCTAGTATCAAATGGAAGGAATACAACATCATTTATAATCAGGGAAAAGTAAATAAAACTACAATGAGATACCATTTCAGACCCATGAGAATAGCAAAAATTAAAGACTGACAATGCAGTAAGTCTGCCTTATTCACAAATTTATTACATGACATTTTGACCAAGTGCTGGCAATCAGTCAATCAAAAGAAACTTCAAAAACAACAATTTTAAATTCCCCATGTATATTACACATCACAGTTGATATGGAGAAGCTCCCAGTTAATTTTGTGTTATTGTCAGTTGTGTTTAAATCATTGTGTGATCTGCTGTTTCTCTGCTCTTAATTTTGTGAAAATATGTCTCCCCAAAAGCAAATGGAAATAGCATGAAGAAACATACCAAATGCTATTTGAAAAAGGGGGAGAAGAGGAGGGAGGTGTGGGCATACAATGGAGGGGTGAATTTCTTCAAAGTATACTATATGCATCTATGGAACTAACACCATGTAGCCCTCTCATATTATTAATGTATGCTTATTCAAAACTAAAATAAAAAATTTAAAAAGCAAATGGCATTCAGAAAGCTGGGTAAAAGTTATGGTGATCCTCCCAATCCAAACATGACATGTAATGTTTTTCAGTTATAAATTGAATATTTTAGATTTGTTGAAAGGCAGCATGTCTTTA